CTGTTATCTCTCTTTGCTCTTCCATATCTCTACCTTTCAGATCTTCCGTACCATCAGAACCTTCTTGGAATGCTTCATCGTTCTCTCCTTTTTTTGATGATGAGATTTTCCTTCAGAACACTCTTGGGCTGCTTCCTCCTCTTCCTCACATCTATTGTCTTCCTTGTTGAGTTTCTCTGTTAAGTGAAAAAGTCTTCTTTTTAGGGAAGAACTTTACTTTTCTCCAACGAATCCTTCGGCGTCATTGATTGACTCTTCTATAATCTCCTTCTCTATCGGTCCCCCTTCATTTGTCACATTTCCTGCTTGACCACTTAAGCTTTCAGCAATTCCTGTCGTTCCTTGCATCAAACTTGAAAAACCAAAACTTGAAACTTTGCAGCCATTGGTTTTAAACAAAGACTTAACCGGCAAATTGCTAAAGGGCCTCAAAATTCTGCAAGTTTGGGGCACTCATCCTTGAGGTCCGACCCACTCTCTTTATCTTTATTATCACCAATTCTATTCGGTTCAGACGGGGTACCCAAAGTTGAAGAGGCCACACTCTTCCACTTCTCGAGATTCATTTCTCCTTTTTCAAAAGCATTTAAAATTTCCTTCCTTTCCAATGAAAGAAACTTATTTCTAATGCCTGTCTGCAGAATCTTGTCCAAGCCTTTGCTGCCGCATAGCCTCCACCCTGCCACATCAGCATCATCTTCCTGGTTAACTGTACGAAGGGCTTTCAAGGGTGTCCAGCTTTTCTCTTTTTTTTGCAAGTTGGGCCTTTTTTGTTGAATCATTTTGTAAATTCCCAATGTACAGGCTCTCATTGTACATGGGCTGTTGTTATTGGATTTCACTCACATTTTAATACAATACAATACTTTACCTGTCCAAAAAAAAAAAAGAAAAACTTTGCTACCCCTCTCATTATTGCAGAATGTTAATTTAAACCACCATTCGGGAAGGCATTTTTTACATCTAGTTGACTTGGAGGTCAAGAATAAAAGGCTGCCAAAGATTAAGAATTTTGATGTTTTTCATCTTAGCTCAAGGGGAAAGTCTCCAAATTATCCACTCTATATGTTTTGAGTATGCCCTTTAGCCACTAGTCTCGCCTTATATCTTTTAATAGAACAATCAACATTGTACTTCATAGTAAATACTCATCTACAACCAACTGGCTCCTTTCCCTTAGGAAAATCAACAATCATTCATGTTTGTTTTTTTCAAAAAAGCATCCATTTCTGTTTACATAGCCTCCTTCCACTGATTTTCGGATAAAGCTTTTGACACCAACTTCTGAATAGACTGAGAGTAAATGGTTGCGAGAAAAGATCTATAGGATGAGGACAAATTATCATAGGGAAGACACTATGAAACACAATGAGCCGTTTACCTTTTCTAAAAGCTATGGGAACATCAAGATTTGAGAACTCAGTATGATGTACTTTTGAATTTGTCATCCTCGAGTCCATTGGTGGTAGAAGAGGCTTTGCATCTGAAGTGAGAACTGGGAACAACCCTCTTTCTTTTCTGGTAAACCTTTAACTCCTTCCGGGTCTCAAAATGGAAGGAGATGGAGGATTAGATGAACATGTAATGTCAACAAAAACCTGATCAAAAGTAATAGGAAGAGGAACAAGAGAAGGATCAAAGAGGCTATTCTTCTTTCTCTCTCTCTCACCAGAATCATTAGAGAAGTAAGGAACAGACTTGGCAAAGGTGACATCCATAAATACATACTTCTACCCAGAGATAGGATCAAAGCAACACTATCCCTTTTGGGTCGAAATATAAATCCAAAATAATCATTTTATGGACTTGAGATCAAACTTTGACTTGTGGGGACCCAATATATCATTACATCTACATGATAAGTGCAACCAAACATAGTTTTCAAGGCACCAAGGCAAACCTAGGCGACCAGAGAGCGCTTAGTCCCCTAGTCGCCTAGGCGTCGCTTAATGTTAAAAAATGTACAGAAAAATAAGGGGTTGAGCCCCTGTTTTTGTCGTAGAAATATTAGTAAAAGAAGGGGTGTAGCCCCTGTTCTTGTCATAGAAAAAAGAAAGAATAAATAAAATCATTAGAGAGGTGTTCATCTTTAAAGGAAAGGAGCAGTCAGGAATTGAAAGACTGTGTGTTAAATAGGGCAATACCTTGGCTGAAGACCTTGGAAATCTTTCATCAATTCTCCTTTAATGACCTTTGGAGAAATTGGTCAGCAGTAGCGAGGTGTTCATCTCTAAAGGACAAATCAATTACAAGCTGGTCTCCTYYATCCGAAGGCTCACTGAAGTTGAACTTTGATGGAAGTAGCATGGGTAATCCAGGATTATCCGGAATGGGGGGTGCTTTGAGAAATGAGAAGGGAGAGATTTTGTTGCTCTACTCAGGTCCCTTGGGAATTGGGGACTCCATCAGGGCAAAACTTTTAGCTGCTGTACAAGGGGTGCAATTTGCAAACCACCTGGGGGTGCAACACCTAACAATCGAGGGGGATTCCAAAGTGGTGGTGGGTTGGTTGAAAAATCCTGAAGAGGCTATGTGGCGTTACAAGAATGAAATGTAGAAATTTAGTTGGTTGACAAGGAATATGTTGRTCACTGTACAGTGGGTGGGGAGATCAGCTTAGATGTGTTAGCTAAGCAAGGGGTAAATAGGGAATAATTGTTTTGGGCTCAGTTGTGATTCTTGCTTTTCTTTCCTAGTTTACTTGTAAGATTCAAGGAGGGGCTGCAGCTCGCGCCTCTCCCTAGGATGTTGTATGAACTCACTCTAAATCTGCTTCTGAATTAATAAATTTATTATCATTCATAAAAAAAAAAATCATTAGAAATGATGGAGAAGAAAGGGCAGAGTCCCTGTTTTTGTTCTAGAAGAAGAAGAAAAAGAAGGGACAGAGGCCCTGTTTTTGTTACAGGGGTGGAGCCAAGCCTCTGTTTTTGCTCCAGAGGAAAAGAAGAAGGGGCAGAGCCCCTGCTTTTTTCCCAAAAAAAAAAAAAAGAAAAAGATGGGGGTGGAGCCCCTGTTTTTGTTCCAAAAAAAGGGAAAAAGAAAAAGAAGGGGCTTCTTTTGTCCAGAAAAAGGAAAAAAGAAAAAGATGATCCCAAAGGAGTGGAGCATACCTTCTATGGTTGTTGATTTTCGTCGTCTTTTCAAAGGCATCAAACAACTAAATGTGTTTCTTCAGCCTTCAAATATCGAATAGCTATCAGATAACCCTAAAGAAATAAGAAACTAATAAGTCCCTTTTTTTTGTTTGTTCTTTTGTCAGCTAATACTGGCATGTTTGACCTTGCTAGACTAGCTAGCCTGACTTGACTGCTTTAATGAGCTTACTCCTCCGTTTGCAGGGTCTCGGACCGGAGTTTGCAGGCTGTTAAGCCAGCAAATGTAGGCTTAACAGCAGCGAGCTCCGCTTTCAGAAGCGAGCCAGAGTAGCGCGCTAGCCTAGCTAGCTAACGTTTTTCAACTGGCTGTTATGTTAGTCTGCATCGTACTTATCTTAATATTATAAGCTCAAAATATAAAAAGTATAACAAACTTGAAGAAATTATATTAAAGTGTCATGGCATTTGGGTGAGCGAGCCCCAAAAAGCGCCTAGATGCCTAGGTGTTGCCTAGACTCTCAAGGGAACATAAAGCATCTCTTTATTAGAATATAACAAATTAGCAGGTGTCTTAAACCCAAGAAGTTTGTAAGGTATACAATTAATCAAGAAAACCATAATAACAACAAGATCCCCTCAAAATCGTATAGGCACATGGGTACTGAACATAATACTCCTTGCTACCTCATGAATATGCCTATTCTTCCTCAGCATTATCAGAATGGAAATCTTGATATGAGTGTCAAATTAAGTTTCATCTGATGAATGAAACAAGGAACGTCCATCTTTAGATCTCATCAAATACAACCATGAAAATCAGGAAGAATTATCAACAAATAATAAGAAATATCAATAGTTTGTAGTTTTCTTGAAAATGATCTTACATGGAAATGCAGACCTTTTCTATGTTGCATTTGGTGATCAGTGATTTCTATTTTCTGCATTGCTTATAAGAAAAAAAAGAAAGAATCTGGTTTCTAAATCCATAAGGAATTGCAAAGTAAATGGTTTGTGGTTTTTTGACATCTATGAATTCATTAAGACTTAAAATCATTGATTGTCTTGCATTGAGCTGTCTGGCATTTTGTGGCATGCATTCCTTGTTTTATTCCATGACACTCGGATTTGTTTCGGTTTTTGCTATGTTTAACATTATCTTTCCATGGTCTTATCTCTTAAACTGTTCATTGGGAGTTTATCAACTGGGTTTGTCTTACTATTTCTCATGATTGGTATGCTTTATTTTTATCTCAACTACTTGCTAGGGTTTTTATAAAGTTGGAGTCAGTGTTTTCAGATGCTGAGGTGTGTTATGAGGCATTCCACTTGAAGCATGAGGTATACGCCTCATAAACAACCTTTTTTTAAATAATACGAATTATATATTATACCATAAATTAAAGTTATATTCATAATGTAGGAGCATTATCATCAGGAGAGGATTTTTTTAACCCTAAAAGTAAAAGATGATTTCGTATTTGGCATTTGTATGGTTTAGTGAAAAGAGACTAAGGTTAACCAAAAATAATAATTGGAGTTAAAATAGAAAATAACAAAGTAATACGTTTCAAGTCAAACAAACCTTACATGTGAAGGCATGCTTCAGGCAATCAGGCCTAGGGTATATTAGATGTGCACGTGTCAACTAGAGGCATACATCTCACATATGTACACACCTTGCACTTTGCACATCAATTGTGAATATACGTTGTATGGATGTGCTTTGAAACATAAGATTAGTACCTTGTTAAACACTGATTGGAAGTAATTATTGGAGGCTAAATTACAAAACTTTATAGTGCTCAAACTTTCCTATCTTTGTTGCATCAAAGTCTGTTGGAAATTCATTGATACTCATGCCTGGGCTCAATGAACATAGTCTACCCTTGAATTTGTGCACAGGAAGATAGTGAGAAGACTGGTAAGGTGACATCTGCAGGAATGTACTTCCTACATTTTCAAGTATACCGAATGGATTCAACTGTGAATGTGGTATGTGAGTTCCGTCATCTTTTACTTCATTGCTAGAGACTACTGATACAATTATGGTTAAAGAACTGATGGATCCATTTTTCTGGCAATGCAGTTGACAATGTCTAAGGATCCAGAAGCTGCTTTCTTCAAAAGATTGGATGGCCTCCAACCTTGTGAACTCTCAGAACTGAAAGCTGGAACTCACATATTTGCTGTTTATGGTTTGAGCTAGTTATTCTGTGCTTTTGTTCTTTGTTTTTTGGGGATAACATTAGTTTTCAAAGTTTTTTGACCTCCATTGAAATTTCTTCAGGAGACAACTTTTTTAAAACTGCAACCTATAACATTGAGGCTCTTTGTGCAAAATCATTTGAGGATACAACTGAGAAACTTAAGGATATTGAAGCTCAAATTTTGAGGAAGAGAAATGAGCTTCGCCTATTTGAGATAGAATACAGAAAAGTATGATACTATTTTTATCCTGGAGTATGGTAGTAATGTGAGATTAGTTGTTATAATCATTTTGTTTTTGGAATTTTGCAGGCCTTGGCTCATTTTCAAAATGTCACTAACAGATACAAACAAGAAAAGCAATCTGTATGTTTTGTTTAGCACTACATTATTTGCTTATCATATTGAAGGAAACTTGCTTGCACACATTATGTATTGATAGCTTTATTTGGATTTAACAAAGAACTACCGAAGGAATCTGCAGGTTGATAGATTTATCAAAAAAATAAGCTGCAGGTTGATGGAATGATCCAGGAAATTATTAGGCATATTTTATCTCTTGTTTACTCTAGCTTTTCTTTTTAGGAGGTGATTCAAACATGTGTCGTCATTCCAAGGTTGACTTGAATGTCTGGGGTTGTATACCAACCAGGAACCACTAGTGTTATCTTCATACATGACATGAGTGTGAAGTAGGTGTCTGGCATGCTAACTTCCAAAAATCATGGCATAGCCTCACAGCTGAACCCTTTATTTTTGAGATGTCCTAGTAAGAGTCAACCAACAGAACTTTTTCTTCATATTCAAATGGTTGTCCAAGAATATGGAAGTTCAATGTAATTGGGTTAAGAGAAGTGCAAACTCATTTGCTGATGGTCTGGCTAGGCAAGGAGTGAATAGGATTTCTGGGTTCTGGGCTCAGTTGTAATTGTTTTGTTCTTTTTCAGCTTGGGATTTATCCTTTCCCTGGGGAGTTAAGATTCTTTAGCTCCCCTGTTTTTTTGTAACCTTATTATTATTTAATGAAATCTGTTGTTATTGATAAAAAAAAACAGAACTTTCTTCATATTGTGCTTACAGCTCCATTCCTTGTTTTGTTAAACTAACGGGAAAATGGAAATTGGTTTCCCATTTCCCTTTCCTGTTAAAGGACATATCCTTGACAATATGGAGTTCTCTATTTCAATTTTTAGACATGCTTACCACAGTTTTGATGATTTTGTGGGCTGTGGCTAAAACATTACAAATTCTATGGTTCATTTGATGGATGACATGCAAAACTCCATTTTTCCATCCAAGTTTTTATCTGAGATAAAGGAGAGAGACATAAGAAGACAAAATACTGTGAAAACCTAACCTTTTCATGTATTTTTCATTTTTTAACATTTTTTCAGAGAATCATCTTGTTTTAATTAAAAAAGTTTTTCTCAAAAAAAAAAAAAAAGAAAGTGCTACAAGGTAGTACTTCTGAATTTGGAGTACATACTTCCAATATGTTGGCCAGAAAGACTGTATATGTCTATATGGGCATTGAATTGGATAGTTAATTACATATAATATAATTTGGCTTGTTAGTCTTTGGGTGAAATATTGGCCTTGGCCTTTAAATTGGAATTTATTTTTGGGTTCATATTATTTCAGTTTTGGGTCTTGAAGCTCATTCTGTTGTTCCTTGAACACAGGTTGATGAGCTGCTTAAACAGAGAGATGACATCCAGTCCTTGTTTACCATAGCTAGTCCAGCCAGTAATGCCAGTGGGAATGGTAGTGGTACCACTGCAAATGTCCAAGTTCCTGGTGAGGATTTAAAGGCTGACAGTTTGGCAGAAGATGGAAATTCAGATGGAAAAGATAAACCGGTCAAGAAGAAATGGTTTAACCTCAGAGGATCTGATAAAAAGGCTGGTTAAAGGCAGTCTTTGTTTAAATATAGCAGCACAGGTTGTTACGGAGAGAGAGAGAGAGAGACAGAGAGAGAGATGCATCCAGCATTAGTGAATCATTTTCCTTCTCTACACCGTTCTTTTTTTTTTTTTTTCTCGGTTTACTTTTTTCTTTTCCTTTTTGTAATTTGTACCTTTTGTTTTCTGCTACGAACGTGTTACTAGTCCGCAGGACATTTGATTTTTTGGGTTAAGAAGGATTTTTCTTTGAAGGCATTTGTCAATCATATGTATTATGTATATCTATATTCACTTTATTGAGTTCTTATTTTTTTGATACATACATTAACTACAGAAATAAACCATATACATGCTTTTCCAACCATTCTGGAGGATTGCCCCACCGATGACTAACACTCAAAATCAGTGTTTTCAACCTGCAGTTGATCCAGTCGGTTGACTTGGTCAAAAATCGTTTGACTTGGATGGTTGGATCTTTGACTTGTCCGACTCAGTGATTGGTTGCGGGGTGTATATTAATTGTGTATGTCTAACTTAAGTAGGTCATAACTTTGCATTTCAATGTTTGATTGAGATAATAGAGATGCTATTTCCAATCTTAAGATGGGAGTTGAAGCACATCAAATTTAGATGGTTTTTTGACTGGGCAATCTGTTGTACCAATTTGCCACATCATCAATTCAACGTAAAAGGTTGAAATATCATGTTTAGAGCATGATTGTTTAAGCAAGACTGCAAGATTTGATGATTCATTGATGCCTCGGGTTTGTGAGAGGGCGATGTTTGAAGCCTGTGATGAAGCAATGGTGCATCTGACATCACGACAGGTTTCATCTGATGTGGGCACAACACCATGGTGGATCCAATTTGGTGCATGCAAGCCAAGCACACCGTTCTAAACCCTAGCTTCTCCATCTTTTTGGCCAATTAGTTCTTCCCTTCACACACTCTACACCAACGATCCTTGGATGTGTAGAAGGTTCTCATCGATGGCAGTTCTCTTCCTTGCATGACAGGTTATAAGTATATTTCTCAGATTGCAACTGTAGAAAGTTTGTAAACCTCTGTTTCCCGTCTCTTTCCTTGTCTTTCCTAATTTTCTACTTTCTCTCTACTATGCTTGGAATCTTCATCTTACAGTGGCTTCTTTCATTTTCCCCCTCATTTCTTTATGTATCTCTGCAATCTTCTCCTGTATTCTTGTTCTGTGTTGTTCTTGTTCTGAAGCTACATTTCTACATATTTATGTTGTTTAAACCTTAAACTCGTTTTCCTTCTGTATCATGAGATTATATATGATCCCGTTCTATCTATTAGACTTTAGCATATTTCTTTGTTATGGGTTTTGTGCTTGACAGAGTTTTTGTCACCGTGTTAATGGCATGCAGTCATGGTGGCTTTGGTTGATCATGGTTATAAATTTGTTCCAGTTGCATGAGTCGAGTATATGGACTTCAACCCAGTATCGAGCACAATGGCTTCCTGATAAATAATTATCTCTTGGAGACAATTCCTGTTCAAAGCAATGTTTGACCTGAGTCATCAGAATTATGAATTAGGCTTAATTGCTGCAAAACCACCTTTTGGAGCAAGAATCCTGCAAAGAGGGTCACCTAAATCATTGTATCATGGTTGGAAAACGTTGGAGATGGCAATGCGAGGAAGATGATGTTGGATATAGGGATCAGGAATTCCTCAGATTGTAGTATAATTAAGGTTGATGGTATTCTTGTATTTGTATCAGGGGATACATCACATTATCAATAAAGGGAGATTTTACTCCTTGTTTTAGACAAGTTGGTAAATCAATATATCTTAAAAACTTATTGAATTTAAGATGACTGCAACAGTGCGAAAACTGTGTTGATCCCATTTTGTTGAATCATTTACCCTAACAAAGCCTTCACCAACCAAACATTTTCTCAAAATGGTTCAAAATCTGAACATGCTGTTTTACCAACCGTAAGAGGTGTTTGTGCAACACTCGTAAAACACATTCCTGCCGGAAGAGAGTATAATCACTTTATATTTATCAATTCATAACAAGCCAACAATAGAATGTTCAAAGTATTCCAAACAAATTAAAAGAGTATTGGAAATGTAATTTTAATTAAGAGGAGAAAATCTATGATGCTGGAAAGAAATAATATGAAGAACTTTTATCAATCAAAACCCATCCATAAATTTTTACGTTTATAATACCGGTTGATTGGTTAGAAAATTTTCAGATATGATGTCTTTCCGATATTATAGTTGGTGCATCATGTTACATTTTGGATATGGTGGAAAAAATAAGATACGCATAAATATGTTAGGAAAACTCATAAATCTCAAAAAAATATATTGGTCCGCAGTTGGAATCGGAATTGAAATCCTCTGGAATCGAAATCAAAATTCTTCGAAATCAGAATCGGAATGGTCTATTCCCATAGTCTGTTTGGTTCAGACAGGAATGAGAATGGAAATTAAAATCACCAGGAATGGGATTTCATTCTCAAGAAAGGGGTAGGGAATGGCCATTCCCTCAAATGGGGGAATGTCATTCCAACAGGAATGGGAATGAAATTCTGATTCCACCCAACCAAACGGTTGAAATCGGAATAGCCTATTCCAATTTCGATTCCAGACCCCTATTCCCATGAGCCAAACGGGGCTTAAATATAAATTTTAGATGATTATAAATAAATTATGTACACATACTTTAATTGTTTTATGTGAAGTCTGAACTACGGGGATAGAGTTGGTAAATATTGAAAAGCGGTGGAAGAACTAAAATATGGATGTATATGAATATGTCTCAATTCTCCAAAATCAACATAATTTGTCATGGTAGAAAAGGGTAAGGCTGCATTTCCTTATTTTAAGGACTTATCTCTTTTTTAAAAGTAATAATTCAGTGTTCATCCCAATTTAGTTTAGTCTGAACCAATGTTTTAAAAAATGACTCGGAACCAAAATTGTTTTGGCCATTGGTTTTCTAGTTAATGGTTCAATCATCTGGTTCGAATGGATGATCTGTTATGACAAAAAAAATAATTAAAATTAAAATGGCTAAAATGGTTGAATAAGTCGAATGGGTCAATGGTTTGACCACCCAAGTCAATGGATTATTGACCGATTCAACAATTTTTGGCCAGGGATCAAGTTTGGGGTAAAACGGAACCAGTTGCCTAGACGGTTCCCAGGCTGAATGGTCTGACCGTCCAAGTCAATGGCAGTTCGAAAACCATGGTTTAAACTATGCACCTAGTTTCACTTTGGTACCCGAATTTCAAAATGTGTCAATCTAGTACTTGAACTCCCAAAACATCCCAATTTAGTCCAAAATCATTAGCCACCATTAAGTGGCATGCAAAAAGATGCAAATGCCCAAATCCAATTGTCCTTCAGGTTATTCATCATTGCTTTGGTTCAATCTTGATTCTTGAGGAAGAAGATGATGAACAATGTCTTATTTCGAAAGATAATTTTGACGCTTTCAAAAGTTTAAGTCACACATGTCATCATGTAATATAGATAATTGATAGACTCTTAACAGAAAGGACTAAATAGGAACATATTAGGAATTCAGATACTGAATTAGCATATTTTAAAATTCAAATACCAAAGTGAGAATAAGCCCTAAGAGGTACTAATCTTCAATTTACCCTTAAAATAAGGATGCCAAATGCAGCCCAAATGTTGAGAATTATGTATTTCTCATGTGAAAACTTTCAATACTTTGAATCCTGATTTCTGTTAATATAAACTTTAATTATCATTTTTTAACATTTATTTGATATATACTAGTAAGAAGAGAATATGTAATACTAAGATTTAGACATATTGGAGCATGGCTTGGTGGTAGGTTCGTCGTCTTTTAATTTGAAGTCCAACGTTCAAATCTTCTTACTTTTAGCTTTATAAATAATACAAATCTTCTTGCATTCTACATTATGAGTCCGACTTTGATGCTAAAAATGCCTGATACCTAAAAATCTGATAACCCATCAACTGTATCAAAGTATGGGTACAAGTGGGATGGGCCGAGCTGGATTTGAGGTAATCGAAGCCAAATCCTAAATATTGGGCCTAAGGCCCAAGCCCGGACTGGGTCTAAGGTCACTCATGATCTTTCCAACCTACGCCCAGCCCAAACTGAAACTTAACATTGGGTTGGGCCTGGGCTCAGGTTCGTCAATTGGGTTTGAGTGGGCCTGTTAGGCCCAATATACTAAAGAATTGCTATTTAGGCTCAGTTTGGAAGGAGTATAAATATAAATATGTACAGTGCAAATACATACAGAGTACAAGATTTTGCATTCTACATATTTGTATTTGTACTTTTTCCAAACTGAGTACAAATACAAATATGAGTGCAAATACATACAAAATAAATTTGCACTACATATTTGTATGTATACTCCTTCCAAACTAAACCTAAGGCTGTGTTTGGTTGCAATATAAATAAATTTGCACTGATGCAAAATCATGGGAATGCAAATGATTTGAGTGTAAATTCTGACCTATTTTTGTTTCAAATTTTAATTTATTTTGTTTACTACAGTACAAATGAAGTAAATTAAGACATGAGTCAGAATAAAGTAAAATCCAAAACAAAATTAAACAAGAATTTGCACTCCCATACATTTGTACTAGTGCAAATAAAATTGCATTGCAACCAAACACAACTTAAGGCTCAATTTGGGAAGAGTACAAATATAAATATATACAGGGAAAACCTTGTATTTTGTATTTTTAAACCTTGTATTTGCATTGTACATATTTATATTTGTACTCTTTCCAAACTGAGCCTTAAGCTGTGTTTGGTTGCAGTGCAATTTTATTTGCACTAGTACAAATGCATGGGAGTGCAAATGTAAAAAATGAAAATTATTCTTTAATTTTGTTTTGGATTTTACTTTATTCTGCTTCATGTCTTAATTTACTTCATTTGTACTGCAATAAAAAAAAAACTAAAATTTGAAATAAAAATAAGTCAAAATTTACACTCAAATCATTTACACTGCCATGGTTTTGCATCAGTGCAAATTTACCTGCTTTGCAACCTAACACAGCCTTAGTTTCACTAATTTAAACATTTAAATAGGACATTTTCTATATTCTGCATATAAGCATGCATGCATGCATGTGTATATTTATATCTATATTTATGCATATATCAATATGTATATGTATGCTCATGTATAGTTAGGCAGGGCTCAGGCTACCTAGGGCTAGGCCTAAGCCCAAATTGAGAACCAAAAATCTAAGCCCAGCTTGTGCAAAAATGTAGGTTGGATTGCTTTGGGCTCGTTGGGCCTGCCCAAGTTTCACCCCT